AAAGCTTATGCTCTAATAAATTTGTTAGTCTCTAAGGTGCCACAAGTACTCCTGTTCTTTTTTTAGAGAATCTTAAGTGTGGCAAGAAAGAATTCCTTCAATTCATGGGAGAAAAGGTAAGTGTGTCCAAGGAAAAAACAAACATGTGATGCTCCTGAAAATACAGTATTTTTAGAAATAGAATCATTGGGAAGGGGCCTGACTGAGGAAGAAAATGGAAATTTTATCCTGTCTGAAAATTGGGTTTTAGCAATGTCACTCCAGCAATCATGGGCGGTTCCAGGCACCAGCGCATGCCTGGGGCGGCAAGCCTGCGGGAGGTCCGCCAGTCCCGCGGCTTCAGCGGCAATTCAGCGGCGGGTACGCTGAAGGCGCAGGACCGGCGGACCTCCCGCAGGCATGCCGCCGAATCCTCATTACCAGCGGACCTGCCGCAGGCATGCCGCCGAAGGCTGCCTCACTGCCGTGCTTGGGGCAGCAAAATACATAGAGCCGCCCCTGCCAGCAATGAATGAAGAGCTCTGTGTAAGCTCAAAAGCTTCTCTCCCACCAGCAGAAGTTGGTCCAATAAAACATATTACCTCACCCACTTTGTCTCCCTAATCTCCGGGGACCAACATGGCTACAACACCACTTCATTCTCCAGCAATAATTCTGTCTTACTAGGTACTGACAGATCAAAACCACCAGTCAGAATTTTTGGGATATTTCTGACTCTTAGATTCTACTCTGCATCAGGCATAAAAGCTTTCATACTTCACAAAACGTAGTTTTCCCATGGATAACGTACACCAGAGAAGAATGAAAGTTCCAGAGCTTTAGTGACTCATTTAGTTAAATAATTTGCATTAAAATTCCCTGATTAATCTTCTACCAAAAAGGCAAGTGAGGATGTCGGTCTAAGTTATGCAATTTCAGAGCGAGAGAAGGAAGAAACAAGTTTGCTTTGCTTTTCTGAATTCCTTTTACCCAAAGAGATTTCTCGTTTGGAGAATCCAGAGACAGGTATTCTTTCATTTTCTTTGCTTTTCTCCTATCAATACTGGCTGCTTGAGATGCAACAGACAAGAAACAGCTATATTATCAATTAGCTGGAGGAGGAGGCCAGAACCTCCTCAGGGCAGAGACTGCTTGTACAGGCACTCAAATAACAGGTGATGCCAGTCACCATCTCTCTGTAGCACTTACTACTAGCCTGCCCTTTCATTCCTGGGAGATAGGATAATTTCCTTGTTTCATGCTTTAAAGCAAACTGGAGAAACAGGTCAGTTCTCCAGTAACTGCACTGGAGAAACAGTAATTGAAGGGTTCAGACATTTTGATGAGCAGAAAATACACTTTTTATGTTTCTTGTTTGGTGTTTTCATTTTCACCAGTTTGTTCAATGCACGAATGTTGTCCAACATAGCACACCTGTATAGCTGCTGAGAATTCCAGCAATGTTCTCCCCATCTGTTGGCCTCAGTGGAATGTCAGTAGGTTGGAGGAGTACATCAGCTGGAGCAGGCCCATTTGTAAATGTTTATGGCCTGTCGCGACCCAGTAAATAGTCTGAGGGTGAAGGCCCTGGGGTGGTTTTGGTTGGGCCCTGCCCGCCCCCAAGCTGGCTGGGCTTGGCTCTCTGCTCCAGGCGTTGCAACCCGCCCCCCTGACTGGACCAAATTTGTGAGAGTGGAGTTGTGACCTGGCTCATGGGGTTGCAGGGCCACTCACTCAAATTTGGCCTACTTGGACTCCCATCATCATGCTGGCTGGGTCAAACCTGAGTGGCGCTAGGATCCCAGAGTTTGCAGTGCCTGGAAAAGGGAGGTGAGCCAAGCCAGCCCTGTGGGACAGGAGCTGCCACGCGACCCTGTGAAACATTCTGGCGACCCAATTTTGGGTCCCAACCCAGAAGTGGAGAAACCCTGATCTAACCTTTGTAACGCTCCACTGGACTTCATTGCTAGCAGGGAATTAAACAAAAGCCACGGAAATTGTTAGTTTTATGCCAAGATATAGCCAGACAATGCAATGACAACTTTTGTTTTCTCATTAGATGAAAAACTGCCTTACCTTCAATTTGTGCCCAAACTGCACAAGATTGTGTCCTCATCTGGAAAGAAAAACATAACCAATGTCACTATTTTCCCAGGATATGTATTAAATCAACAAGCCTACACCATCCGCAAAGGCATTCAGACAAGAAACATTAAAATGTATTACAGGGGGAATGGATTCCTATGTTTTTGCTAGATCGCCAAGCTTTCCTGAGAAGGCTATAGGCTATAAAGACCAGTTTAAAGAGAAAACTTTGAGGAAAGTCTAGCTCTCATCTTTCGGATAGAAAAGAACAGATATCTAAAAACCCTACATGACGAGGGCTATAAAGTTGCACGGTTAAGTGTTCAAAAAGTTAGGAAATACCAAAGTTAAGGCTGCACATACAGTCTTAACTCTGCCCCCTATTCGCATATACAGATTCCTATACAGTGATTAATTACATGGTCACTCACTGTGTTGCGAATAATATATTACACAATGTTTTCTCCACCCTTGAATACACATTTAGCACCTTATAATTTTTAAAGAAACTTTAATACAGTACTTACACTAATTTAATTTTCATAATGATCCAAAATATTGTTAGGGACAGACTTTCTATAAAATCTTGTTTAATCAGTTTTCTTCTCTCTTTTGATGTATTCTCTTCTCTATTTTCTTTTTCTGTATCTCACACCCTCAAACATAAATATGAATTTTAAGTACAGTACTACTCTATGGTGTATACTTAATATGAAGTGTGATATGTACTTTACATATAAATGACTTACATGCACTCTGGTATTTACATATATTTTATTGAAGGTTTTAGACAAAAAAGTACACCTCTACCTCGATATAACGCGACCCGATATAACATGAATTCGGATATAAGGCGGTAAAGCAGTGCTCTGGGGGGGCGGGGCTGCGCACTCCGGTGGATCAAAGCAAGTTCGATATAATACGGTTTCACCTATAACGCGGTAAGATTTTTTGGCTCACGAGGACAGCGTTATATCGAGGTAGAGGTGTATACTATGCAGTGGATAAATAGTATGTAATCATGTAATTAAAGACTAAGGCGTGGTCTATACTGGGGGCGGGGGGAACGTGAGCTAAGTCGGTCTAAGTTACGCAACTTCAGCTATGAAAATAGCGTAGTTGACGTACTTAGAGCTACTTACCACAGTGTCTTCACTGCGGTAGGTTGACTGCTGACGCTCCCTCGTCAACTCCGCCTATGCTTCTCGCTCCGGTGGAGTACCGGAGTCGATGGGAGAGTGCTCGGTGGTCAATTTATCGCTTCACTAGTCTTCACTAGACATGATAAATCAACCCCCGCTGGATCGATAGCTCCAGAGGTAAGTGTAGACATGCCCTAAGTCATGATGGATCTGCACAAAGGGACAATCTTCATTTGGGGCTTTATTTTGAGCTTCTATACAACCTCAATGATATTTAATATAGTTTTTGCTATGGGATTTTCTAGCTGTTTAAAAGGATAAAAGATAGGGTACAGAATGAACAAAAACAGACCTGCAGGCCTTCACTCTGTATGAGGCAACCTCCCCTAATACCACGCACCTAACAAGGTCCCCTGGGATTGAGCCAAGAGATCCTAATGGAGTCCTTGCTTCAGCCTACCTACTGCCATTTTCACTATGTAGACAAGTTAGTCATGCACCCATAGACAGTACAGCCTTCCACAGCAGTGCACTTTCCAAGTTTAGGAGAGAAAACACAAGCAATCTACTGCACATGTGTGCGCAACATGAGTTTTTCAAGACCAGTTGTCAGAACAGTTAAAGGCATTTTCCCCTCAATTAGGGTTCCTTATATTCCAAATTTCAACTTTCTACCCCTAGACTTTTCAATACCTGTACTAAATACTACAAAATCCTCTAACTGGAATACCAAATTTACCTCCATCCCTCGCAGACTTACTTTTGCTTTTATTACATATTCACTCCACAAATGCTGAATGATGAAATGGGAGTTATAGAAGGTTTTATTTATGCTAAAGAAATGAATCCCACATCATTTTAAGCTCCAAGCACTATTATTTTTTCAGTGTCTTTCATTTTGGGCCTTGGCAGGTTGAGAGGTATGGAATCCACAAAGCAATCAGTGGGGACTGAAACAGGCACCAGATGGGTTGGAGCTAATTAAATAACACCACTCTCTCACTGAGAAGGACACATCCAGAGATGGACAATTTGTTCTGCTTAATGGAGGTTTTCATGATAGCTACAGATTGCCTGACACTATCTCCCAAGCCCCATCTCTCTCCAGAATTCCCACTTCTCACCTGCCAAATTTATCATTAGGAAAAATGATACTCTTCCATTATCTCAGCTTTCCTAGCTTCTTCCCTGATGCTCTCTAAGCATTCCCTGTTGGAGAGGATCAGGCGGCATGACATTTGGCTAGCGTAAGTGGATGTCCCTCACATTTCCCTCAGTCTTTCACATTTCACTCAGCTTGGACTGGTGCATAGGTTGCAATTTTATTAAAAGCCCTTTTCATTTGCTGGTTCTCATGTACAATGCTATGGGGCGTGAGTTTCCAAAACTGTAGGAGAATATTTAAAGGTGACCTGCAAAAGGAAAAGAATGGGATTGTGCCCTTTTTGGTTACTTTATGATGTATAAAGAAGACATGAAAGTTCTGTTTTTTTGAAAGTTCAGGTCCTGTATTACCCGGAATACTCTATGGCCTGGTCTACACTAGAAAAATTAACCATTGCGGACATCTGTTTTCAGGAATGAGTAATTTGTCTAATGTAGACCAGGTGTATGATGCGGAAATGATGACTTCACAAGAACAATAATGTGAAAGTTGAGCAATTTAGGAATTTAGTCACATTATTTAAAATTCTTTGGTCTGGTGTTTGCTAATAACTATTTAATATAAAGTGAGCGCTGTACTCTTTGTATTCTGTGTTGTAATTGAAATAAATATATTTGAAAATGTAGAAAAAACATCCAAAATATTTATAATAAATGTCAATTGGTATTTTATTATTGTTTAACACTGCGATTAAAACTGCAATTAATTGCAATTAATTTTTTAAATCTCGTGATTAATTTTTTTAAATCACTTGACAGCCTGTAGAGGGGTGGTTACCCGCTCCGGCCCTGACAGGGTTAAGGCCAGCCCTGGGAGAGGGCTGGGGCTGTAAGGAAAAGCGCAGGCTGCTTAGGAAAGCAGGCACTGCTGGGGTCACGCCCCAAATAGAGCACAGCAGGTCCTTATAAAAGGGCTGCTAGCTTGGAGCTAGAGTCTCTCTCTCTCCAGTCTTGGAGGGAGCAGGGCCTGGCTGTCGGTAGTAAAGATACGGGGAGTGAAGCAGGGCTGGGGAAAGGCCAGAGGAGCAGGAGAGCTCCAGGCTGGTGACTCCCCAGGCTGCAAGGCCTGGTCCTAGGCCCACCCCTGAGGTACTGGGTGGTAGAGGAAGACAGCAGGTCCTACCCCCTTGCCTGTGATGACTGGCTCTTATACTGCAGTCTGCCCCAGGGAGCAGGGGCTCATTGCTGACTGGCAGTAGCCACCGGCTGAGGCAAGGTGGGATTAGGGGATTGGGGTCCCTGGGGAGGTGAGACCCTGAGAGTGAGGGGTTACTGCCAGGGGGCAGCACCCCAGATAACGGGGCACCGAGGTCCGGGAGGGACACGGGGGCCCAGCGGCAGCGAGATGTCGGCCTGCAGAGAGCGCTCCAAGGCTGGAAAAAGAGCTAATTCCCAGGACACCAGCAGGAGGTGCCACAGGGGTAAATTTCATGCCGTTACACAGCCCTATTTAACGTCAATGACTAAAAAGGCTTCCTTCTCCTCAAATGTTGAAAATTCAACAACCCTGCCCCTTCAATAAAGGTATGAGTGTCAATATACGCTCTCCCAATAAGTCTTCCCGCAAAACCAGGGGTGCCCAGAGTTGACATTCCCTGCTATTTATAAGGCTAAAATGCAAGTAAAACAAAAAACTCCATTAAAGAAAGTCTGGTCATCTTGTAGCGTCACTTGGAAGAACAGAATACCTTAGAGTAAAAGCACTTGACTCAAAAGAAAGAATCATATGTTACTGTTGAGTGACTTTTAGATACTAACACTCCCTAAGGCTAAATTATGGCCTCTGTAAATTATAGGCACCTGTAATTACCTATGAATCAGTGGGATTTGTGCACCCATCCCTGAAGGCAGAAGTTGGCACTAAATCCCTAATCCTTTCCTTTGTTTATATTTCAGCATCCAGAATCACTTCTGCATTACAATGGTGAAGAGATCTGCAAGCAATTAAAATGGCTACTTCAGGGTTTTATATCATCAACTTCTTGTCCCTGACAATATCATCAAAACAGAACAAAAAGCTAAAAATTTTCCCTGGTTTTCCAATTAAAACTTCTTTCATTCAACAAAGACTCAGAGAAAAGTTGATTTAAAATACCCATTACCTTATTCCATTGGCTTATAATTCTCAGTACCACACAGTAATCTTTCCCCTGCTTTAAGGGAGCATTATAGAATGCCCCATAGTAATGTCTGTCTCCAAGAGAGATCAGCATATTGTCAGCAACATCCTCGGCGAGGAATTCAGCTGCCACATACCCCTCAGCATCAGTGGCATTGCTAAAGAAAGTCACAGCAGCCAGGGAATCACAAGTAAATGTGCTTTGCAAGGCCAAGGGAAGCACAATCACTTGATAAAAACTAGAATGAAACAGAAAAGCAGCCATCAGCATTCATTTCCATGCACTAAACACCAGAGAGAAATCATATTTGCATTTAGTCTTTCAAATATTTTGGCCCTTTGTTTAATAGTTTTCAAATCACTAACATCCCGGGTGAACTCTTTCCATGTGTGGGTGAAATATTTCCCTTTATATACGTGCTATTTATTGCCCTCTGTATAAAACAGACTATATATGCCTATCATAAGGCTAATTTTGCAAATTGCACACACAGATTTAACATGATTGGGCATGCTTATTTAGTATTTTCGTATGAGAATTGCCAACTATGAATCACTACAAACTGCCTGTTTGCTCAATTCATCCGACACACAACTTTCTCCTTGTAGCCAAAGCGGAGCTGAAAGACATTATCAACCTATTAAAACCTATTTGTTCCTGATTTCCCAGAAAGATGCTCTTTCCAGTATCAAGAAGGTGACGAGAGCTCCCATCTATTAGACTTTAATTAGAAACTTGTCCCTCGAGTTCACTAAAAGTTCAGAGTGTGATGTCCTCCCACAAAAAAGAGCAACTCTCAGAGTACATGCACTGTACTGTTGTTATACTGTCCTTTGGCTCCTGCATTCACTTCCAAATATTTCCTGCCTTACTATAACGTGAGTTACAGTAACTCGTTTCTCTCATTTCCCAGGCACTTACCAACATACGTCAGCAGAGTTAAAACTCGCTACTCCAAAGAGTATTTATAATTTTGGTACCAGTAAATGAATATGGTGTTGCTGTTTATCAGGATTTGAAGAACAGATCTTCTTTCTTAATTTCCTATTGGCTACTAGAGAATTTCCTGCAAGCTGTATAATGTGGTTTACACACAACAATTATAAACTGCTCTTAGTTACACCAATGAATATCTAGTGTAGCTCCACTGAGCCAATGGAGTTACACCAGCATAAATTCAGAGTAATTGAGGACAGAATTGTGGTCCAAAAAGGAGAGGTTAACCTGAAGCAAAACTCCAGATCTGAACAATCACAAATTACAGTGAAGATGGGACCTGGCTTCAAACTTTCTGGTTTGGTCCCATTGCTAATAAAATTATCTAATTGAAGACAGTCTAAAATATACAAACATCTAAATGATCAGTACTTAAAAAATATATTTTGAGAGAGTCGGGAGCATGTAAAAAAAACAAAAAACCCACAGACCTGATAGGTCCATTTCTATCTTCTGCTTTTCGTAGGCTGAGTGCTGGTGCAGGACCGTGTACGGTAACAAACTCTATTTCTGGGAATGGAGGATCTAAAAAGCAAACAGAATCAGTACTTTAGAAAAGTTTGAGGAATAATCCAAGTCTGAGGGCAGTAAGCTTTTTCTCACACAGCACAGTAACTAAAATGCTAACCCTAAAAGCTAGAGCTGTGCTTTAGATTCAAATCTGAATACAAAATACTTTAAAATGTACAGACAACGTTTTTGGTTAACAAATATTGGAGATGATTTTTATTTTGATTGAACTGCAGATCAGCAGACTCAACATGAGAACACAAATAGATGAGAGTTGAACCTTACTTCTTGTAGACCTTGAATACCTCAGTCAAATATTTTAAGCTGTCATCGGAGACTTTCAGCAAGTACTTCCCTGAACTTTCAAGAGCCCCCTCAACTGGAGAACTCAAAGGTAGGAAAATAAATTCTGTTGCAGTAGCTTTCTTTGATTCCTATTTTATACCCTCCCTTCCTTTGACATCCAGCACAGTCACGAGAAGCTTTAATTCAATTTTCTGCCTGGAGAAAATATTGGATTTTTTTTTAAATCCTCGCCAAAGTGCATAAGGCCTAAAATGTCCAACCGATCTGAGCTTTGCGTTAAATTTCAGACAGGCAGTGTAAAGAGGAAAACAGCTTTAGGGCCCTAACCAGTAACTACCCAGGCCTAGCAAGCAACAAGTCCCTTTAAAGTTTGGAGTCTTTGCCACATTGGGTAACTGGTCAGAAATACAAGCTGTTAAAACTGTAAGCACATCTAAGTCTCTCCAGACTGCCCTGATAAGACGTAAAGCAGCAACAATCCAACATTTTAAAATTGGTTTAATTCTCACCCCAGGAAACAGGAGGACTTTATGAGGAAATTCTTCCATGTGCAGTATTTGACATTAAGAAAAATGCATGTTGCCAGAACGTTAATGCGTGCCAAAAATCAGTCAACTACCAGGCCTGCAGAACATCAAAATTTAACAATCCCCGTGGGAAAAATAAAGCCTTCAGACCACCTCCATGAAGTCAGAAACAATGGCAGCACCTAATGCAGGGCAGCCATTGTGTGGGAAAATTCCTGATCAAGAGTGAAAAGCTGCAGCCCCAAATTCAGTGGCTTGCCATTAACATCTACCCCTCTTGGTCTTCAGGTAAATTACTATAAAAACATTCTATCAGAATTACAGGCCACCAGCTTGAAGCAGCATCCTTCAAACTTCACAGTGACACAAACCTAAAAGTGCCAGTATTCACCCCTATCTTCAACCAAACCCCGCTCCAAATACCCCTCTCAGAATCAATGCTGGTAGGCCAGGAATTTGGCAATTCACCATGAGTTTCATTTTTATGGCAAGAATATTTGAGCTGGGTCACAGTGTTAGCTGGAAGCCAAAACACAGCAGAAAGCACATGTAACAGCATTGCAAGTGAAATACGAAAACAGCACAGATATTGAGGCTATACCTCCTGGAAATGACAAGATGGGGCACTTGTTCACATCACGTTCAATGGTTTGGAAGACTCCGCATTCGCACTGCGGCAAATCCTTGATTCTCCATTTGTGCATCCGGTGCACACATCTTCTGTGTAATGTCCTAATATGGTTGATGGTCATCCACTGTCTTTGGCAGAGCAAGAAACCAGGTCATTCGACAGTGCGATCATGTACAAGATGCTTGTTGTTTATGTCAGAGCAAACCCATTGCATCTGCCAGGGGTTTTCTGAGTTGAAGCTGGATGACAGAAGAGCTTCTCCAACCACCCAGAATGGCCAGCAGGACTTAAGGCAAGCGTGAGGTGGATGAACAAAGAACTTTGGATGAACAAGAACTTTCTTGTACTCGTGCAACATAGCCATCTCTCACCAGATGGTTGGAGAAAGGACTTTGCGAGGACTGGAATCTAAGGCAGTGGCATGGTCTTCAGGGTGCCACTTACAAGTCTCAGAGCCACATTTAATTGGATGTGGATCAAGTCTGTGTGCGAGCTTCTTCCCCAAACCGGTGCGTAGAACTCGGCCATGGAAAAAACTAAAGCCAGCGTTGCCGTCCATACCATTTGAGCAACACAACCCCAGCTCAAACTTGCTAGCTTTTGGATGATATTGATGCAACTCACTTGTTTCTTATCAAGCAGATGTTTCTCACAGGAATGGCCTGATTTTTTAAAAACATTAAGATTCCTAATTTACTTGTCCCTGTTTTAAATCTCAGAGGCCTCTGACTTTTTACAGACGCAGTTTACAACGGAAGCCTTAGGACTGCACAGACTAATCACTACACATGTGATGAACAGTATCACTTTCATTATACTATCAAATCTTGATAGTAGGAATCTTTAAGGTCTTTCTGATTAGCTGATCTTCTGCACTCCACCAATACTATATGACTAGGACAGCACTGAAATTTACTTTACTATACATACTACAGTCAGAATGATTCCATTTAAAAGGATAGTATTTTCTTTGTGCCTCATTTTAAATATGTCTCTATTTAAAATGAACATATGCTTATGGCTAGTTAATCATTTGGCTTACCACCCTTTTAGAAATCCTTCATTTGCACTAGAGCAGCCCTGTTTGGGTTTCTCTGCTTTTCTAGACGCCATTCTCTGCTGCTGATAATGCTTTAAAAATAGTGATGCAACTGAGCCACAAGGTTTGCATCCAGATGGTATCTTTCCTCAAGTTCAGGGAAGTCAAATCAAGGGTTCTCATTCAGGCCCAGCTATAACTGAAAACAATTCTCTGCTGAAATAATGCTATTTGCATAACTGACATTTCTTGCAAACACATTGTTTTAAGGATTTTATGGTTGTTTGGGGATTTTGATTCAAATAAAAATCTTTTATTACATTTTCACATGTAAAATAAAGAAATGGAATAAGTACTAATGGTATAAGTGAGGGTTATGTAGCAGTACAGATTAAATAGCACATATGTAACAACATGTATGTTATGCTGAAAGGCAAAGAATTTTTAACCTGAAGAAAACCACTATCACAGAATCTTCTGAGGAGATGACCAAAAAAGCCCACTAGAAGAGAGAAAAAATGAACTTAAAAAGGTCACTTAAGACAAATATATTGATTTTTAATAACAATATAACGGGGGAGGGCCCTTATCTGTGTTTTTAACACCACCTTATGGAATGTTAATTTTGGGGGGGGGTGAGGGGAGTGGTGTCATTAACTATATTCTGTTTGTTTCCTTTTTGCATTTCACTCAGTTGCATCAGTGAAAATTAAACTGGCTGGTTCCACTTTATTGTTATTACTTATTTGTATTGTAGTAGAGACCAGAGGCTAGGACTCCATTGTTATGTTTGTACAATACCTATCACAGAGGCCCAAAGAACTTACAGTCTATACACGTGAGACAAGAGAGAAAAGGTAGACAGAGAGAGAGACAGATGAGGGAGCACAGGTAACTAATGAGACATTACTGGTCAGCATGAAAAGCAGTGGTCTCAGAGCCTAGCTGCCTAACCATTTATTTGTAGGCATCATGACAGAGAAGAGTTTAAATAGGGATTTGAAGGAGAACAACAAGGTGGCTTTGCAAATGTTTATGGAGAGCTTCTCCCACGAGTGAGGGGGGAAAAACACAGTGGTTTGTTGCAAATTATTTTAAAATTGGCAATCAAGACTGGAAATCATTTGCAGAACAAATGCAGGGGTCCCATGTGTGAAATGCTCGGTAAGGCGGGGTTAGGCTGTGGAGGCCTTAAAAGTGAAGACAAGTAGTTCGTGTCTGATGCAGACAAGAAGGTGAAGCTGGTGGAGAGGTGCAAAGAGGGAAGAGATGGGATCAATGTCACAAGTCAGGAAAATGCTCCTGGCAGCAGAATTTGAAGCAAGATGGAATTTGTCAAGGCCAGAGAGGAGACCATTGGAGCAGTTGAGACATGAAAGATAAGGGCCTGGATGAGAGTTTTAGTTGTGCAGACAGAGAGGAAAGGCCATATCTTAAGAGATGTTATGCAGGAAGAAATGCGAAGATTTAGATGTGGCCTGGATGTGGAGACCTAGAAAGGGCCAAGTCAAAGAAAATGCCCAGGCTTTGGGCCTGGCCAAAAGGGAGGAGGGTGGTGGTATCCTGGAGGACTGGGGGGAATGATTAGGAGTTCTGTTTTGGCCAAGTTGCGTTTAAGATGAAGGTTGGTCTATGGGGAGATGTCAGAAAACTAAACTGAGATTTTGGTTTGGCCAGGAGGAGGCAGGTCAGGCGTGCAGAAGTAAATCTGCAAGTTATCAGCATAACGATGACAGCTGGAGTCGTATTTGTCAACGCGACTGCCCAGAGACAGGATGCAGAAGGAGAAATGGAAGGGGCCAAAACAGAGACCTGTAGAAACCCACAACACACTGGAAGGAGATTAAGTTTATATATGGAGGAAGGATTTCACATACAACCTCTCATAGACAATAGCACTGGGCTAGTTTATGGCACCGATCCTGTCAACAGTTATGCATGTGCTTAAATTTTATTCATTCAAGCAGTCCCATGAGCTTCAATAGGACTACTCACATATTTAAAGTTAAATACATCACACATAAATGTTTGCAGGATTGGAGACTAAATTCCTGTCACATAAAAACACATATTTATATTACTGGTTGTCATCAATCCCCCTGCCTGCTTCACTGAAACAGAAAATCATTTCTCTGTAATTCTTGTTTTCTAAGAGGTATACTTGTAACTCATCACCCCCTGGGGGGTCTGTCATGATAGCACAAATAGCAGGGAATATTCACAGCAAATCCACGTTTCCTACGGTCCCTTCCTCCCTCAGTGGAAGGCAGAAATTTTTAACATTTGAAAAAAGAAAAATAAATTAAAGTTCCCCCAACCATGAGGGGAGTTGGGTGAGTTAGCCTGACTCTATTCCTACTTGCACATGAGCGGAACAATGGCAAGCTGTTCTCTTTCCCCCTAAGGTTACGGAATTCCATTTGGGATGCAATGTGTGAGAAAAACCCAGAATGAGAGGGGCACCACAAAACTATTCATGGAGAAAACATAAGGCTGTGGAATTCATTCCTTT